AATAGAAAACATATTGTGATTATTAAGCCAAAGAAGGGCCCATGCCTGCATTATGAGTCCCGCAATCACCAAAAAGGTAGGAAACTATTCATATCAAGAAGCTGGCTATCTTCTAATGGGCAGTTCCTCTGCCATGTTGCCCCCTCTTCCCTCCTGCTCTCTCTGGCCTCCTGGAAGGAAAGGGATGAGGTCCTGCTCCTTCAAAGCCTTTCAGCCCTTTAAGGAGACAATAGGGCCTGGAGCTGTGCTGTGAAAATGCCCTGGTCATTCTTCCCGTCTGCTCACATTCCTTCATCCCCTGATGTAAAACTTGAAAGGAAATGGAATCCTAAATGTAAACACTATCTTTCAGTCACTTGGAAAATTATCTACCTCTCCTTTCTCTCTCTTACCAATTCACTCACCCTCAATTAAAGCCGTCCTCTGAGTTCAGCCTCACTTTTCAGAAATCAAGCAATCACTTAAGAAAGAGAAAAACATTAAGAGATCCAGATTGCAATTAACTTTGTCATTGATTTTTGTGTAATTCTGGGGGAGGTGTTATTCTTTTGGCAAAGCAGGGGCAAGGAACTCAAAGATTAATGAAGGTTCTAATGACAGCAGTGGGCAAGGACTGAGACATCTGCAGTTCTGTCCCCCGGGCCCTGCTGAAAAGCAGCAGCAAAGCTAGGGGGAAAATGGCCTGGAAGTGAGGCCCATGAATTGCCCATGACAATGGAGAGTCTGTCATTCAGGTGGAAAGGCTTCAGTGGATACAGTTTTTTTGTTTTGTTTTGTTTGATTGTTTGTTTTTGAGACTGAGTTTTGCTCTTTTTGCTCAGGCTGGAGTGCAATGGCGCCATCTCAGCTCACTTGCCACCTCCGCCTTCCAGGTTCAAGTGATTCTCCTGTCTCAGCCTCCCAAGTAGCTCAGATCACAGGCATGCGCTACCACGCCCAGATAATTTTTTTGTATTTAATAGAGACAGGGTCCACCATGTAAGTCAGGCTGGCTGCGAACTCCTCACCTCAGGTGATCCACCCACCTCGGCCTCCCAAAGAGTTGGGATTATAGGTGTGCACCATCATGCCTGGCCAGATATGGTGTTTTCCTGTACTTTTTCATTTTAATGTAATTCACATATGTGATGTTTTACATAATTGTGCCTGTTTTGTTTTAACTGATCAATTATATATATATATATATAAAATCTCCAACCTTGCCTTTTTAAAAACTGCAATTATTTCATAATTTTGAACCAAATATATATATATATCCAATCTTGCCTTTTAAAAGCTGCAATTATTTCATAATTTTGGATATATATTGATCATAACTAGGAACCAGTGGGTTAGCACACAAGAGCATGCATGCATACACACATATGCACCGCATAAATATAATGGAAGCCACTGATACAGATATAATTTTTAATGTGTTATGTCATTGGATGTCTATCACAGGAAAAAGTCTCTGCAAAAATAGATTTAAAACAGGCAGTTTAATCAGATAAGTACACAGCATTCATCTCTGTCTGCTACCAATATGATTGCAGCGTAATGAATGAAGGGTGGGAGCTCATCGGAATACGTCTCTTCTGAGCAATAGAGTGAAACCAGCTGTCATCGAGAATCCTTTCCTGGGGTGGGATCTGGAGCGGGATCTGCTGCTGTGATCATCATCATCATCAATAGCTAAACTATTAGACTTGAACAAAGGAAATAAATGATGCAATTTGGGATTTTATGTTAAAATGTTTGTTCCAACTTTATGCAACTCCCTAATGGGGAATTTAGCCTTGCAACACAACTCGCCAATTTTTGGAAGCCCCTGCTAGGGTGGAGCAAGGGTTCCCTTCTGTGGGGAGTCAGTGAGGAGAAATTACCTTTCAAGGAAGTATAAAGGAAGTGAACTGGAGCAAACGTACTCCTCTCAAACCAAATGCAGAGAGTGAGGCTATTGAATTACAAGGCCATCCAGCTAAAGCCATAAAATGCACTTGTTGCTTGCTGCTCCTATGCATGCCTCGCTCTGTAGCTCAGTCAGAGTGAGGCTGATGGCCACTGTCTCCAGGGAACAACAGGGTTGGTGAGGGAACCTTAGGACACCAGCACACCCAGTGGCCCATGTGACTCTGACCGCCCGTGCATTAGTTGACTGCCTGCTATGGGCCAGCCCTGTCCAGGGCTTTACCCCTCACATGACGTTGTGAGGCAAGTCCTATTATTCCCTCCATTTTCCAGACAACACAGAGAGACATAAAATGACACAAAATCACACAGTTGCTGGGTTTTAAAGATGCATTCAAAGCCAGTCAATGCTGAGAGTACCAGGTAACCACCATGTAGCTGCTCAAAGGAATCGAATTTAATCGAATGAGAAATTGGAGAAGTGATGGGCTGAAAGAAGGCAAGAAATGATTTGGCTTAATTATAATCATCTCCAAAATAAAAACTGATTACCCCAGTTCCCCCTCCATCTCAGCAGGGTTCAGCAACAGTCCCATGAGTGCCACAGACAGACAAGTGTCCTCTCCCTGTCCCACCACCTTCCAGAATCCCATTCCACCACCAGGCCTCCAGAATCCACCTGCATAGTAAAACCATTCCCAGGGCAGACGTATGCCTCATAGATTGCTAGAGAGCATAGGCACCATGAATGGAGGTCCCCCGACACCCTGGAACTATGAACCCAGCAGCTGCGCCGCATCACCCAGCCCTGATGACCTCAGCTCTGCACTGAGACCCTGTGCAAGTGTGGAAGGCAAGCAGACCCTCCACACCCCAGCACTTTAAAGGCATCCACCTGTTTCACTCTTTCACAGAGTACCTCTATGCGCTCTCCCTATCCTAGTAGTGGCTGGTGTGAATCTTGGGCCACAACTTTGGTATTTTAAAAGTATAACTTTTTAAAATTTAATTTTTATTTTGAAACCTCATTCTTTAAAAATGGCAGAAACTCAATCCTGGGGGCTTAACTTCCCCTAAGTCACAGCTAAATCTGGGGATTCTTTAGTTCTAAGACTTGGCAGGGGAGTGGCATCAGTCTGCCATGTCATGTGTCTATTCAGGCAACCTCTGAGATGTCACATAACCCCTCCACTTGGCCCTCGGGCATTGGTTCACCCAAACTGCCTGGGACACCCTCTCATTCCACCCATGTGGCCCTTACCCTGGTGTCTGGAGAGCAAGGACAAGGCTCCTTCTCTCGTGAGACCCCACCATCGTGACCATTACTTCCCCATAGACTTGCCTACCGCCCTGGATGTATGGTCTCAAGTACTCTGCTGGGCTCCGAGGCCTTTGTTCCCCTAATAACTGGGGCTGTTATAAAACAAAACAATGTACTGGGTAACACTTGCCTATGGACAAATATATCAGAAACCCCAACAACAATAGCCTGACCAATAATATTTATTACAGGACATAAAAATATCTGGTACAGTGTGCTCAAAGACACAAGCAAGGAGCCAGGCTCTTTCTGTCTTTCAATCAGGTCAGTTGTGCCCTGACTGTTGCCTGCTTCAGGAGCGAGGAGGAGCAGGAACTGGAAGAGCAGCCACGATGGACTGTGGCCTCCAGCTCATGGGGCGTGCTACTGTAGGCATCTGAGCACCCCAATTTGTAGGGCAGTTGGGAAGGGGAGCTTTTGACTTTCCGGCCTCCACAGCAGGAGGCTGGTTAGAGTGGGGATAGCTAAATGCCAGTTAGAATGGGGATTGCAGAGTGGATGGAGGGAGTTACCCTAAAGAATCTGTCACACACAGGAGAAGACTCGTTTTCCAGAGTCGTTTCCCTCTCTGAAGCCCCAAGCAGGCAGCGGCCAGTTGCTTGAATGAGGTAGAGGTGAAAAGAAAAACTGAGTGGTGAAAAGGTGGATAATGCTCATACAAAATTATCCCACCTCATGGGTTTAAGAACACCTCGGTCTGGGTAGACGGCCCAGAGGGCGCTCACAAGCTGTGTGTGGGTCCACCACAGAACCCAGACTGGGACTGAGACACAAAGACCTCTGCTTCCAACCCCTGCCACTCACTCATGGGCAGCATGAGCCACACCAAGGGCCTCTATTTTTCTATTCTGACCTGGGCTTGGCCTAAGGGACCCAACAGGCACTTGGTGTCTACATGCCAAGCCAGTGAAGCTCCCACATTTGTGAGTGGCAGAGATTGGGCCAGAGTATGACAGGAGCTTGTTTCCCTGACATACATGACTCCAGGAGGCCCAGCCATTCTGTACCAACTGTGTGCTACCCAGCTCCTTCAGGGGCTCCAGCACAGTCAGTTCCAGGCTCGGCCCAACTGCAGAAATTCAAGGTAGCTCCACCCCCTTGAGCTCCACATTAATTCTGGCTCCCACCTGGTGTGGCAGAAAGTCTGACCTGCTGAGCCCATATCTTTCTCTGCAAAATGAAGACACTCATGCCTCCCTTGCAGGCTGTGTGAAGATGAGCGATGGCGAATGCCTGCCCACCCAGGCCTTTTTCGTCTTTTAGAAGACCCTGAGGACTTGGACTGAACCAAGCAGCACAGAATCCAAATCGGTGCTGACTGCTAGACATGTGAAAGGTAACATTCTCATCTGGGTAAATCTACCTCCAGAAGCGGCTCCAGAAGTTGCCTTTTTGCAGGGAAGGGTTGGTGGGCAGTAGGCAGACTTGGCTGAGAATGCTCCCCAAGCTGGCATGGCGGATTGGTACCAAACTGTTGGAATCACCTACTGACCTCAATTCAGCATGAAACTGTGAATGTTGATATGCCCTGATGTGGGGTGGCATTTTCGTCTCTCACTTACACTGACAGCATTTGCAAACAGACTGAGTCTTGAGGGCTCTTTGGGTACCTTTAAGACTACATGCTTCTCTACAGGCATCTATATCCCAGTATAAAAGAGCATTTTCATCAACACGAAGTATAGTACAACTAAAAAGATGTGTTTGTCAAAAATAAATAAAATAAAATGAAATCCATCTCCGGCAATATCCATAAAGCCAAAGTCCTTTGTGTTTGAACAGACCATACCTGAAGTTCTGGTGCATTCTGTGAGCTGCCTTGTAAGGTGAGGAGAAGATAAGCTGCAGCCTGTCCAGAGGAGGGCCTGCTGTGGCCACCAGTCACAAAAAGAAAACATCTCCATAAAGCCAAGTGGAAAAAAGTAGGGTGTTGTGCCTGGTTTAAAAAAGAAAAGATAAAAACAATCTTCAAATATTTGGAGAGAGCTTTTATGTATAAGAATGAGCTTTATTTTATATATATGAAGAAGGAACACTATACCTGTAATCCTGGCACTTTGGGAGGTTAAGGTGGGTGGGTCACTTCAGGTTAGGAGTTTGTGACCAGCCTTGTCAACATGATGAAACCCCGTCTCTACTAAAAATAGAAAAATTAGCCTGGCATGGTGGTGTGTGCTGGCAATCCTAGCTACTAGGCAAGCTGAGGCAAGAGAATCGCTTGAGCACGGGAAGCAGAGGTTGCAGTGAGCCAAGATCACATCACTGCACTCCAGCCTGGGTGACAAAGCAAGACTCTGCCTTAAAAACAAAAAAAGAAGGAAAACTAGAGCCAATGATAGTGATACAGGAAGACAGGTTTTTGCTCCAGTGGGAGACGCAGCAGCCCTGAGGAGCAGCAGGATCCTTCAAGACTGTAGGATGGGAGCCTGTTAAAGACGCCACCTCCCACTGCTTTGTGAGTTGTGATGCCAACCACGGAGACCATTATCTCAGAACCATCTGCCAGCTACCTCTCTAGTGCCAACTCAGCCACACTGCCCAGGACCTTTGTCCAGTTCTTCACCAGAGCTGCCTGACAATAGACTTTATAGTGCATGACCCAGTAAAGCCTCTCCTTGGGTACCTTTCCTGGCTTCTCTCCTTCCACCCTGAGGCTTCTCTGTTGCCCCTGAAGCATGAGACATTCCAGCAAAGCTCAGTGCACAGCCATGCTCAACCCAGAAGTAAGAGGAGGAAATAAAGGAGGATTAATAACCCACGGTGAAAACCACTTACCAATCAATCAGAGGCTGAAACTGGCAAACAGATTCTTTTCCCTTCCTCCCTTACCCTCCACCCAATTGGTTTGTCCTGAGATTTAGTCCCTTATGCTCTGGGAGGATGGTCCCTGTATTAGTTTCCTGTAGCTGCTGTAACGAATTACCACTAACTGGGTGGTTTGAAATGATAGAAATGTATTATCTTATAGTTCTGAAGGACAGAAGTGTAAAATCAGTATCACTGGGCTCAGCAAGGCATTGGCGGGGGGTGTGCTCCCTCCAGAGGCTCTTGGGGAGAATTCCTTCCTTGCCTACTCTGGCCTCTGGTGACTGTGGCTTGGCTTATGACCACATCCCTCTGTCTCCTTGATCACACTGCCCTCTCCTCTTCCGTGTATCAAACCGGCCTTTGCCTCCTTCTTGCAAGGACATTTGTGTTGGGCTGTAGCATTCACCCAGAAAACCCACGGTAATCTTTCATCTCAAGAGCCTTAATGACATCTGCAAAGTCTTTGCCGTATAAGGTAACATTCACAGGTTCCAGGGATTAGGATGTGGATATTTCCTTGAGGGCCAGTGTTTAGCTTACCACAATCCCAGGTGATGGAGCAATCAGCTACATGTCATTTGATGACAGCTACGTGTCATCAAATACATCAATAACACACCCTTGTATTTTCCCCTTGCATTTCAGCCACACTGCCCTTTCTTCCAAACTACTACTACTCTGGGATGGAACTCTCCATGAAAGAGGTAGTACATGAGATTTTCCTCAAGCTGTACTTTCTAGAAAACTCAGGGTAATATATGTAAGCCATTAAGAACAGTGCACACAGTAATGATAGTCAAAGTAATACTGGTAATACAGTACAGTTTTCAAAGAGGTTTAACTTTCTTCCACAGCACTGCTAATCACTGAAAAACAGACTTACACACTGAGGGAATGGAGGCCATCTACTGCAGTGGAATTTTACACTTTGCTGAAAGATCTATTTCCCCTCTACAAAACATTGCCAACGTGATGACATTTTTTTTTCAGTAGAATACCTGCTAAGTGAATAGAATTAGAAAAAGAAGTGTATTCCACAGCAAATGGAAGAAAATTCACTCTGTTAGAAGAAAGTTAAATACATTTGTTGACAAATTCCTTACAGACAAAATCTCTTATCTGTGGCAGCACTATGAATACACCTTTTGTGTGATGAAACAAATTATGTTTCTTAAAACAGCAGTGTCCTTGGTCCTAGGAATATCTGAAGAGTATCATACTTCAAGGATGAATCACAGAACTGATACTATCACCTCCAAATTCAGTCAGCAGGCTGTGATTGCCTTGGAAATGAGGAGAGTAAGGCAGAACTTTCTACTTGCTCCTCTCAGATGTCTTTGCAGGTGACAACTGTATAATGGAAGATTCCGGAAGGTTGTTTTTTTTCACTAGGAAATTTCACTGGCACCTTTGCTTTAGAGAATCATGTGACTTTTAGGTTCACCAATAAATCTGAAGAGAGCAAGCGATATGGTTTGGCTATGTCCTCACCCAAGTCTGATCTTCAATTGTTTTTCTCATAATCCCCATGTAGGAGAGACATGTGGTGGGAGGCAACTGAATCATGGGAGCAGGTATCCATGGAGCAGTTATCCTCATGCTATTTTCATGACAGTGAGTGAGTTCTCATGAGATCTCATGGTTTTATAAGGGGCTTTCCCCCTTCGCTCAGCACTTCTCTCTCCTGCACCACGTGAAGAAGAACATGCCTGCTTCACCTTCCATCATGATTGTGAGTTTCCTGAAGTCTCCCCAGCCATGCAGAACTGTGACTCAATCAAACCTCTTTCCTTTATAAATTACCAAGTCTCAAGTATTTCTTCACAGCAGCATGAGAATGAACTCATACAACAAGTATCCAGTGACACTGAATATAAGGAAAATATTGGCAAACTTTCCCTACTAAAAGGGCAAATATCAAAATCAGAAATATTTAAGAACTTTACCTCTTTTACTATGACAAGGCAAATCCAATATTTTGGTGGAACCTGCTTCCTGCAGGCATCATCTCATCTCAAAAATGACAAGACACATTGTTCAATAAATATAATCTGAATGAAGAACTGTATTGAACAGCGTGGTAAAATAAGCCTATATCTGGCACATCCATGTTTAATGTATGCCATTTAGCTGGGTAGTTCATATTTGAAATTTCTTTGATACAGATTCACTTGGACTTCATGTACAAAATCTTAGCTTTCACATCTCCCAAGCCCAGATCATTTTCATCTTTTAGATGCTAGTACAATCTGCTATCAACATTTCAGTATCTCTCTTCCTCTTCCCTTCCACAGTATGTGCACTCAAGAGACATGCACATGCCCACAATATAAAACAAGGTGTCAGGAAACATTTTACAGGACAGCAGGATTGCTCTCCCTCTCCAAGTTCATCTGCTCTCTCTTTCTCCATAGCACAAATAAAAGCCAACTCTTTGGACAGCACAGGAAAAATCATAAGAATAATCTATGGACTTCTGGAGGATTCCAGCCACAGGAGTCTAAGAATAAAAAAAGAGTTACAACTCGCTGGGTGCGGTGGCTCAAGCCTGTAATCCCAGCACTTTGGGAGGCCGAGGCGGCTGGATCACGAGGTCAAGAGATCGAGACCATCCTGGTCAACATGGTGAAACCCCATCTCTACTAAAAATTTTAAAAAAATTAGCTGGGCATGGTGGCGCATGCCTATAATCCCAGCTACTCAGGAGGCCGAGGCAGGAGAATTGCCTGAACCCAGAAGGCGGAGGTTGCGGTGAGCCGAGAGCGCGCCATTGCACTCCAGCCTGGGTAACAAGAGCGAAACTCCATCTCAAAAAAAAAAAAAAAAAAAAAAAAGTAAAGAGAGTTACAACTCATCTTTGTACAGTCATCACTTTCCCTGGAAAATTTCAGCTCTTTTTCTAGCTCATACAAGGCTCTTAAATGATGTTAAATAGCAGATGAATGAATGAACCAATGAACTAAAGGACTGAACATTTCTGAAACTATATGGAAAGACACATGATATAAAGAAGCATTATGGTATAATAGAAAGAGTAGTGATTTAAATCCAGGAGATGTAACTTCCAGCTGTTCTACTGGCTTACTATTTGATCTTGGACATGCTACCTAAATCTCATTTCCCAACATGCCAAATAGGGATGATATTTTATTAAAAAGTTTTATAGATAGCATCTATACCACAAACAGTACCTATATGGTTTAGAAAACACTTGGATTCACATTCTCTCATTTGATCCTCTCAACCACCAAATGATGGGAAAGGATGCTCATCTTTTGTTCTCGAGGCAGAATTCCACAAAGTTGACCACAATGCCTTGATATAGTTAATAAAGGTGCATGCCAAGCTAGAAGTTCCAGAGAGCAGGCAGAGAAAAAGATGGCCATAATCTGTGATCTACCCCTGAGACAATAATGGCAGAATCTTATCTCTAACCGTGACTTCTCACCTTAAATCATTCCTGCTGCCTGCCATCCATGTGCCTGCTCTGAATACTCATAAAATTTACTCAAAGCCAAAGGCCCTGAGCATTTCTTCAAATGAGTACTACATAAAAATACCTACACATTTATTTCTCAGTATGGAGTAGGTATTGAGTAAATGAACAATGAACTGCATGGAGAATATCAGGAGTTGGCAAACTTTTCCTGTCAAAAGCCAGAAAGTAAATATCTTAGACTTAGTAGGCCACATGGTCTCTTTCACAGCTTCTCCATGTTATGGCACAAAAGTAGCCATAGATAATACAGAAGCAAATGGGTGTGTCTGTGAGCCAATAAAACTTTATTTACAAAAGCAAGCAACAGGTCAGACCTAGCCTGATTGGGCCTTGTTTTCCAACCCTTAGACTGCATTCACTTTGAGAAAAGTCTTGTCAAAAGCATCATCTTAGCCCTTTCTTTTAGAGGCAGGGTCCTGACAACGTTTGATTAACACACACACCCGGGCACTTTGTCTCTCTTCCTCCGTTGTCCTTTGATAAACACCAACTGGCAGAGGGGACACGGAGCATTTTTCCTTCAATTGCAGTGATTCTGAAAGACAAAGCCGGGGCAGAGATTAAAACCAGACCCAAGGTCTTTATGCCATGCTCGGCGTATCAAGTGCCCCTCTTCAAACTGTACTGAGCTAGCTGTATACCTTCATAAAGAAAATAGAACTATTCTTTCACTTAATAGTCTTTTAGTGTGGGTATGGGGGCCAGGTTTACGAAAGCCCTTATAAAATGCCGGCTGAAAGGAAATAATGCTCCTTGGCACCACAGAATCTTTTTCATGTGAAGCTACATGATCACTTTTCATTTTGTTTCTCAAGCACTCCATGGCACCCATCCATGTATTAGGCTAATAACTGCATGAATCTAGTTAAAAGGAGCCAAGCAATTATTTTAATTAGAAGAGAACAAAAATAATGCTCCTGGCTTCTGTTTTAAGGGGCAAGAAGGAAGTAGTCAGGGTTCAAAAAGATCCCACAAAATATTTTTGTGAAAGGAAAAATAATTAAGGCCAAATTTAGAATGTACTTGCCATAAATGGGCCAAATAAAATGAATGGCATCACTGTGCGGCTAGAACCCATTCATAGATAAGAGCCCCAGAAAGTCCGTTTCTATGTGATACTATTTTGAGGGTATAGCCAATTTTACAAAGTGAAAGTGAATGTCTAGCAGAGACTTAATGATCCTTGTGAATCTCTCACATGATTTCCTAAAGAGTGTCTGTGTAAACTCTTTTATTAATAAGAGATGGGGGAAGGATACTGGTCCATTTGCTTTTAAGGCAGGATTTTTTTTTTTTCATTTAAATTCTTAAATTGCTCAAATTTGTTTCTCTGGAAAAATTTATCTTCACAGCAAATCCTTGTGGCTAATCCATTCTGTAAAAAGCAGATTCCACAATAAGAGGATTTTCATCAGCTAGACTGAACACAGTTATACAGGAAGAGATTGTATCTACAGCTCTTCCTGAGCTTTTGTCTTCCTGCCTCCCTTCTGGTCATGGCATTTTGACCATTTTATTCCATCTCAGCCTTCCAAAAAGAAATGAAATGAAACTCAAAATAGTCAACTAGTCACCATTCTTCCTTCTGTTTGGATCTATCATTGTTTATTAAGCACCTGTTATTTACCAGCAAACAGGAAGTTATGGGTATGCATAGGCAACTAAGACCCAAACCCTGCCTGCAAACAGCTCACAGTCCAGTCCAGCAGACAGAGACATGGGCAGAAAGGAGAGCCAAGCAGCCCAGCTGGGTAGAGGGTAAGGTTACCTGGCCTGAGTTGACTGTTAAAGAATGGGTTATCCGGAAGGATATGGATGGTCCATTCCAGGGAGAAAGGTCAGCACAGGCAAAAGTCAAAGACTAGAATGAGACAAGAGAGCAGACAGGAGAGCTGAGCAACAGCCAGGTGCTCACCTCTGAATGTTGGTGCCCTTCTAAAACTCATGCTGGAACCGAATACCTGATGGGATCACACTAAGAGGTAGTGCCTTTCAGAAGTGATTCAGTCATGGTGGCTCCAACCCCATGAGTAAGATTCGTACCCTTATAAAAAGGGCTTCCTTGCCCCTTCCACTATGTAAGAATGCAGCAACAAGGTGCCATCTATGAAGCCCTACCAGACACCGAATCTGCTAACACCTGGACTTGGACTTCTTAGCCTCCAGAACCACCAGTGATATATTTTTATGGTTTTTAAATTACCCAGTCTAAGGTATTTTTGTTAAGCAACCTGAATGGACTAAGACACCAGATCATACAAGAATCTGCACCACGTTGATAAACCTGGACTTCATCTTGCAGAGCAATAGAGAAATCACCTGGTATTCAGCAAAGGACTAATGTGGTTAGCTTTCTGTTCCAGAGTCGGCACCTGCATGGCTGAAAAGAAGATGAAATGGAGAACAGTATCCCATAGATGTCATTGCCCAGGAAAGAGGTGACAAGGCGTCGAACTGGGACAATACTAAGTAGGAAAGGAGAGCTGGGATGAGGAATGAGATGCGTGCTACTAAAGGATATTTTAAAAATAAAAATTTAAAAGTCTGTGGAGCAGTGACTGATGAGGTCAAAAGTCAGAGATAAGAGTTTTCGAAGCTTCTTGGTGGGGATCAGATGTTTTATGTGAACGCTTGTCATATGTCCAAAAAGGTTTCTCAACTGATGAGCCTTGATTATGAGTTCCAGGATTGAGATGCAGTAACAAATTTCAGCCTTGGGCACATGAACATACTGCTGAGTGCCATATGGAAACTCCTAGAAGATAGTCTAATTCCTATTTACTTTCCCACGCAAAACTCACACAAAATCAGCTTCTTGCTAGAAGTCTAAGTTAAAACACACAGAAACATGGAAAGAAAGAAAACTGTAGTGAGTACTTACACAGAATAAACTACATATATGTTTAATTACTATATGAGATTAGACTCACTTATTTTTTTTTTTCAAGACAGAGTCTCGCTCTGTCACCAGGCTAGAGTGCAGTGGCGCAATCTCGGCTCACTGCATCTTGCCTCCTGGGTTCAGGCAATTCTCCTGCTTCAGCCTCCCACGTAGCTGGGACTACAGGCATGTGCCACCATGCCCAGCTAATTTTTGTATCTTAGTAGAGACGGGCTTTCACCATGTTGGCCAAGATGGTCTCGATCTCTTGACCTCGTGATCCACCCGCCTCAGCCTCCCAAAGTGCTGGGATTACAGGCGTGAGCCACTGTGCCCAGCCTCATTTATGTTTTAATTTCCAAAAGACTGTACACTTCTCAACTTGTTTTATGAGCCAGTGGAACCTCGATAACACATCTGACAAAGATACTACAATAAAAGAAAGTTACAGGTAAATTTTATTCATAAACATTTCTATAAAAATTATTTTTAAAAATACGACCAAAGCACATGCATAAGATAAATAATACATCACGACCAAGTTCAATTTAATCCAGAAATGCAAGATTGGTTTAACATTCAAGAACCCATTGAATAACTCACCACACTAACAGAATTAAAAAGTCATATCATTCTATAAAGAAGCAGGTACTTAATTTATGATAAAAGTGTCCCTGCAGAGCATCAAAGAAAAGAAGTGTTTTCCATTAATCATGAAAGGTAAGTAGATATCATAGAGTAAAGAACCAAACTTGATTCCAACCTCACACCATATACAAAAATCAATGCCATGTGGATTGTAGATCTAATTGTGAAAGGTGAAACAACACAACTTACAAAAGATAATATGAAAGAATATTATCATGGCTTTGAAATAAGCAAAGCTATCCTAAATAGGACACATAGAAAGCCTTAACCATAAGGGAAAATAGACTATATTAACATTAACATTAACATTAACATTGGCTGGGCACAGTGGCTTATGCCTGTAATCCCAGCACTTTGGGAGGTTGAGTTAGGAGGATCACTTGGGCCCAGGAGTTCAAGACCAGCCTAGTCAACATGGCAAAACCCTATCTCTACAAAAATGAAAATACAAAAATTAGATAGGCATGGTGGTGCATGACTGTAGTCCCAGCTACTCAGGAGGCTGAGGTGAGAGGATCACTTGAGCCCTGGGGATTTAGGCTGCAGTGAGCCATGCACAAGACACGGCACTCTAGCCTGAGCCACAGTGCGAGATTCTATTTCAAAAAGCAAAACCAAGCACAAAAATTAAAATCTTCTATTCATCCAAAAGCACCATAAAGAGAGTGAAAAGTCAATCTCAGAGTGCTACATGTTTTTAACATGTATAACCAAAACGCTATATCCAGAATACATATCTCCTACCAATCAATGAGAAAAGATGAAAACATCAATAGAGAAAACAGACTTAATATCACCATTTACAAAAGAGAATATCCAAATAGCCAGTATACATGAAAAAGATGCTCAATGTACTAATAATCCACGAAAATGGAATTAAAACCACAATGAGACTCTATACATACCACCAACATGACCAAAATCAAAAAGACTGAGAATGCCAAGTGCTAGCTAGCAAGGGTAGAGCATCACCCACTGCTGGTAAGAGTGGAAAATGACACAATCTCTTTGTAAAACTGTTTGGCATTGGCAGTATTTATTAAAGTTGAGCATAATCATGCCCTACAATTTGGTAACTTCCCCTTCAGTCTATATATAGACTAAACATAATGCGTATACACAAGCACAGAAGATGTGCACGAGAAAGCTTCCAGGAGAACTCTCTGAAAATAGCCTAAAACTCAAAACAACTCAAATGCTCACCAAGAACAAAATGGATAAACTGCTGGGCACAGTGGTGCATGCCACTTTGGGAGGCCAAAGCAGGCAGATCACCTGAGTCCAGGAGTTTGAGACTAGCCTGGGCAACATGACAAAATCCTGTCTCTACAAAAACAAAAATTAAAAACAAACAAACAAAAAAAAAAATAGCCAGGCATGGGGGCATGAGCCTGTAGTCCCAGCTAACCTGGGTCTGAGGTGGGTGGATCACTTGAGCCGAGGGGGTTAAAGCTGCAGTGAGCCAAGATCATGCCACTGCACTCCACCCTGGGTGACAGAGAGACCCTGCCTCGAAATAAATAAATAAATAAATAATTGTGCTATATTACTGATACAAGGGAAGAAAATAAAACAAAGAAAATACACTATTAGCATACCCGACAACACAGATACCGGTCACAAAAATAATGTTGAGAGAATGAAGACAGATAAAAGAACATCTATCCATGTTTAATGTTCTTATCGCAATAAAGAGGAAATTTTAAAAAGAATACCTACCATGTGATTCAATTTACATGAAGTTCAAAAGAAGCAAAACCAAGGTATGATGTCAGGAGTCAGGCCAGTGGTTATCTTTGAGGGGAAAGAGGCCTTCAGGAGTGTTGGTCACATTCTCCTTCTTGTCCTGGGAGGCAGTCAGAGCATATGGTCACTCCAGATTAATTTATATCACACACTCCTGATATCTGCAGTCTTCCATATGTGGAACCCCAATAAAGCTTCCATTTAAAAGTTTCAAATGTTGATTTCCATTTTCCTTGAAGTAAAGGGAATAAGAAAATATTATAGAATCTCTTCATAAAAATCAATCAATTTTTAATTTGCTAACCAAGCCGCACTTACCTGTGTTCAGTTTGCTCCCCTGATGTCAGCTACAGAACAGGAAACGGAAAAACCACGCATATGATTTTCATGAAGCTGGAGGAAGAAGAAGAAGACAATGCCTTCCCCGTGAGGGAGAATGAATGAAACTGGGACTCTCTGCAATTTAGCTAAGCGTTGAGTAATGCATAGAGAGGAGAAAGAGAGAGAGAGAGAGAGAGAGAGAGAGAGAGAGAGAGAGAGAGAGAGACAGAGAGAGAGAGACAGAGACAGAGAGATGGAGCTGAAGGTCCAATGTATAAAATAATGACAATAATGACGAGCCTGCTGGAGGCTCATATATTTCTAGCCTTATATAAAATGGGATCAAAAGGTAACAAATTTAGTCTGGCTATAAGAAATGCTTTTTTTTAAATGAAATGTTTAATTAACCTGTAGCCAACAGTTTAGTAAAATCCAACTCCTCCCATACTCCCCTCACCAAAAAAATTAGTTATTTATAGCAGCCAAACCAGCAACATTGACAAGTATTGTATTACAAAGACTCCCCTGCTTCCAGGCAAAAACTGATCACCAGCTGGGGTCAGGAAGAAAATTTTCCCTTTGGTGTAGTATTTCATGGCTCTGTTATCTAATACTGAACAATTCTCCTGGGCTGAGTAGCATTTGCACCTCCATTCACTGGACGTGGCTCTGGGATCCAGGATGTGATATGGAAACAGGTTATTGTTTTAATCCCTGGATGGCAACACCTGCAGGCAACACCTTGTGTCTCCAAAAGGTAAACACAGTGAATATAATCCAAATTGTTCCTAACACTACTGTTTTTATATCAACAATCTACAAATATATGGAATAACTCAATATATGTGAGAAATAAACAGAAGGCATGCCTACATTGAGGTAATTCAAAAGATGGCTCTGTAATTTACCAGCCTGAAGTTCAATTGTTGCATTTTTAGGTATGAAACATTATAAAAAAGAGATATTATTCATCAAAGTGATTGTCCTGTGCACTTGTATACCTTATATAATTTATTTTTTTCGGGGCTTTTTACTTCAAAGAAATCACTAGCTAATGACATTTCAGACTTCAGAAATTTTTTCTGATAGCACATTGGAATTCCCTCAGGGACAGAATTGTGAATAAGTGGATTTTTTTAAAGATCATTAACAGATATTACAAACCAATTCAAACTGAGCATTTTCTTTGCAAATTACCTTTAACTTTTAAAGCCATTGGAAAAAAAAAAAGACAGTGAGTGATTTAATTTACTTAACCTGTCTACAAATTGCAGCTTTGCGCTCCATCGGCGATTGCATTTTCAACCAAAAAAAAAAAAAAAAGGTCTCTAACTATCTCTAATAGAGATATTTTTCTAAATTATCACACCCGATAAGTGGTATTTCAAAAGAAAGTAATGTTTATTTTTTTTTTCATTTAGCAAGTTGCCCTGGAATTGAAAATGTTTATTCTATTGACATGTTTAAAGTAAAAACACAGCCCTATATTGTCTGTATCTGTTGCTTAATTAAAACTCTCCAGCAATTAGCAGGTTTATCATCTCCAAAGCAAATGGATGGTGGAGCTTTGGTGGTAGATTGTGGGGTTTTTTTTGAGGGGAGGGGAATGTTCTTTTATTTAATGATCAAACCATAGTTTCTGGGCTAAAGAGCTAACATTTGGGGTGAGAAGCACCTTTATTCCTCACATATATCAGGCCTGATTCTTACTGTCATCAACACCCTGTTGTGTGTGTTTTCCATTCAAAGAGCTCCCATGGACTTCAAAGGGAGTCGCCTGCAAGGATGGGATATGTGGAGTCCTGACAAGCCCCAGATCAGGCTCAGAGCTGGAAGAAACCATGCCAAGAGTACCTCACACTGGCGCCCCCCCAAACCATGTCACAAAATTAAAGGGTCTCCCCTGCCTATGCCATCCCACAGCACTCGTGGGAAACGTCCTCAGGCTTGCCAAGCACTGCTCTGACTTTGCAGGCTACTAACATGTATATTTGATGAGTGGAGTTCCGTTTATAAGAAAGTATGTTAATAGAGTATTCTTTCGGAATGGTGGCCAGCGCAGACTTTAAAAGGCTATTGTTTGAGGTGCCAGAGGTTTCCTTTTTCCCCTTTTAAAGTGCAAAGTCAACTTACTATACACCAAAAGAACTGCACATCCCTTTGGATGTCCCATCAACAGCAAATGGGTAGGAGTCTATTCTGAAGGATGTTCTATTTTTGGAATGATTAATTAAATTATTAAGAGTTAAGGGGAAGAGGAACTATTATTTCTTGAGTGTTTCTTATGTGCCAGGTATTGAATTCTTCTCTTTTAATCCTCACCAATATTTTATGAGGTATATGGTATTATCCCCCATCTAAAAGGTGATAAGAATGGGCTTTAGTGAGATCACAAAAATTGTCCACTCCAAAGTCCCATGACAGCAAGTGAGAAGCAGGTGGAACCCAGCCCTCCAACATCTCCAAATCCCATGTTTGTCTCTTTACCTCACACTAACTCCTCGTTCTCTGCTGATTTCAAACGCCAAGTTCACGTCTTACGGCAGCTGCCCTTTTTCTAAATGGCTAGAACTCACAGACTGTGGGTTCTTTCAGTTCGAGCTCAGACAAAAGAAACTGTATTCCAAATGCTGATGATTAAGTCGCAAAGGCATAGTGTTGCTCCAAAGAATTACCAGTGGAATCCTGTTAGGAAACATAGAATGGAAGGTGGTTGAAAGTCTACATTAGCTAGTCTGAATGTCACACACGTGTCCCCAAATGCTGACACATCTAAATGAATGTCACATGATAAGGGGTGAGCCTAGTGATCACAGTAGACTCCCTTGGAAACAAGTTCAAGGAGGAAGCTGGGCCAGGGCTTCAGGATGGCAGAGGACCAAGATGCTCATTGGTAGACAGGTACCACATCCAGAATCATTACAGACACAAATATTTCAGCGTAGGGACAGGGAGAGAAAGCCGAAACTTCTATTAATCTTCTTGGGCCCTGCCCAAACCTCAGGACTTCAGAATCCTAAGTTTAGGATGTGGACACCCATTGGGCACAGAGTGGGACTGGGGAGGTGGAGTCTCCCATCCACCTGCTGAACAGACATCAACTACGTGCTCAACAGTGTGGAAGTGGTAAGGGGTACAGAAGGTCTGTCAGGGCCGCCCCTAAGCTGCTTCCTGCTGCCCCAGACTCCTCCAGAAAAGGCCTCTGAAGCCACTGGTCGGAGCCCAAATGATTCTGAACGTGGCTACCATTTGCCTTGGGCTCACAGAAAGCTCACCAGAACACAGGCACTTGTTCCAGAGATCTTGCCAAGCCTTTTCCCTTCTCCCAGGCTGTATATCCTTATTTTCAAAGTGGAGTCAATACGAATACCTGCTCAGCCTAGCATGCCGGGTGATGACAAAGGGGACAGATTGGTTCGAGAAAGCACTTTGGGAGGTCCAGGCAGCTGGAGGGCATCTCAAGCTGCTTCCCTCTAGCTGCAGGCACGTGGCTAAACACCTGACCCTATTCTTCCTACTGTAGCTTGGTCTTGCAGCGAAAACAAATCTAAACGGAAGTGACTTTTTGTGTAATAGAAGTCGAAACCAAGGTTTAAAAATAAAATAAAATGGAATGTTTCTGAGAATGCAGCATCCATACACTGTATTTGTTTTTCGCTCATTCAGCACATTTGTATTAGGCGCTAAGTGGAGGCAGAGGCACTCCATCATTGTGTTGGACTTCTGAGCACACGACTTAGCCTTTGCACTTGGGAGAAAGTCAAACTCCTGAACAGGAAGCCATCCTCTCACAACCCACCCTGACGTAGCAGCCCAGCTCATGGCTCTGCAGATGCACAGGACACGCGTCAGGCCCACCTCCCGGGCCTCCTTCATCCCACTATTCACCTGTCAACCCCTCCGCTTCATCCTTGACTCGCCTGAAATGTTCTCTGCTCAGAAAGACCTGCCAGAGAGTGCCTCTAGTCCAAAGCAGTCCCAGCCCTGATCTTCACCCTCATGCCTAGTGGGTTTCCTGCGGAGCCATCATTGCCACGTGTGGTGACACTCTGTTGTTCTGGAATCTCTTGTACCGTCTGTCTCCTCAGCTCAACTGTGATCTTCAGGAGAGCAGAGGTCACCTCAGCCTCGTTTCTGCATGTCAAGCCCTGGCACAGTACCTGGCCAATGAAGGACACGGGAAACAGAATTTTGCCTCAAAGCAGCTCACCTACTATAAAGCAACATAAAACTCCACCCGGTCAGGGCTTTTGTTTCACCTTCTGCAATGGCAGCCCTTGAGCTGAAGAAGAAAGGTTTTGCCCTCCTCCACCAAGCTCACATTCTTTTTTTGTTTGTTTTTGTTTTTGAGACAGAGTTTCATTCTGTCACCCGGGTTGAAGTGCAGTGGTGCAATCTTGGCTCATTTCAATCTCTGCCTCCCGGATTCAAGGGATTCTCCTGCCTCAGCCTCCCAAGGATCTGGGATTACAGGCGCACACTGCCACGCCCAGCTAATCTTTGTATGTTTAGTAGAGGTAGGGTTTCACCATGTTGGCCAGGCTGGTCCCAAACTCTTGACCTCAGGTGATCTGCCTGCCTCAGCCTCCCAAAGTGCCAGGATTATAGATGTGAGCCACTGCACCTGGTTCCAAGCTCAAATTCTTTCCTCTGCAATTAATCCGTGTCTCCCCCCTGCAATGTAGCCACCCTCGCCTGATCCGGCAGGAAGACCTGTGTTTGCTCCCAGCCCACAGAAATGTCCCACCTGTTGGTCAGGGTCTTCCTGCCAAGGAGATACAGCTTCCTCTTGTCACCTAAGTATCCCCTTATCTAAGTGTAAGATAGTAATAAGCCTGAGAAACCCAGGTGTGACTGAGAAACCCAGGTGTGACTGTCAGATGGTCCCTGGGACTCCCCTGCCAGAGTGAGCCTGGGCTCCAATGACAGCCCAGAACTTTAGCTCCCATTACCTCGGGAATTCCCCACCCTGTGTGCTGCAGAGTGGATGATGGTAAGCAACACTCACAGCATAGTTTATATTCCTTTAATTTTTCTGTTTTCAACTAGAGAAGTAATATGCACTTACTGTAACAGGTAAGACAATACTTTTAAAAGGTGAATAAAAGCAAATATAATTATTTCTCCCTATCCCACTGAATTACCACTATCTCAAGAATACCAAGGGCATGCATGCATATGCCTATATCCATATATAATATATAAAGAATAAACAGAGTGTGGTGTCTCACACCTATAATCCCAGCACTTTGGGAGGCCAAGGCAGGTGGATCACCTGAGGTCAGGAGTTCGAGACCAGCCTAGCCAACATGGTGAAACCTTGTCTCTACTAAAAATACAAAAATTAGCCAGGCATGGTGGCACACACCTACAATCCCAGCTACTTGGAAGGCTGAGGCAGGAAAATCGCTTGAACCTGGGAGGCAGAGGTTGCAGTGAGCTCAGATCATGCCCCTGCACTCCAGCCTGGGCAACAGAGCAAGACTCCACCTCAAATAATAATAATAAAATAAAGTACATATATAATATTTATATAGCATAAATATTATATATACTACACATATCTTATGTATTATTTTACATAAATGGGATCATATGCTTGCTGGGGAAATTTTAGTGCTATATTTTGTCTTTATTGAATTACCTATTTTGCATGCCTTTTGCATGTCCTCCAGGGACTCACTGGAAAGCACAGGCATCCTGTGGCCATGGGACCACACCTGACTTCAGTGGCACTGTTTCCCTGTCTGTTTTTGAACACACCTGCTGCCCTGGTTACACTGGTTACACTGGCCTACTGGTGAGTCTTCAGAGAAATGGCACTGCCATTTTTTTCTCTTCTCCATTGGTGGTTTTGGGACATCTGAGATGTCTCTTGCTTCCACTCAGTCTCTTTTATTTCCTGCAGTTCCTCTGGCCTGTCTTGTTCCCTGCTCTTTCTCACTGGCTCTCATTTCCAGCTGCCAGTCCCTGTATTGCTTCTGACTTTATCTATTTCCAGAGACCTTCCCAAAGTCACAAATCTCTCAGCCAAAGGTCTCTTTCCCATTCTGTACAGGTGCCTCTCCCTATCCATCCTCCAACAAATCTTACCCAAGCCTTCATCCAGTACTCAGCTCATTTGTCAGTAGAGACCATTCCTCCTGACCCTTCCCCTACCAGGTCACGCATTTGATCAATACATTTGTGTACTGCTTTGTAGATTTCAAACATATTCAAATAGATTCCTTCAACAAACTCTTAGAACAGCCCTATGAAACAGAAAGAGGTAAGTATACTGCCTCCCCAAATATATAGGTCTTAAAGGACATTTATTGACAATTTGCAAAGAAGACATTTAAATGACCAGACTTTTTAAAAACTCAGTTTCACTATTAGTAAAAGAAATGCAAAGTATAAGAACACTGGTATACTTTTTGCCTGTGAAATTAGAAACTATTTAATAGAATGATAATACTCACTGTTTGACAAAAGAGGAGAGTGGTGGTATGCTAGATTTTTGCAAGTAGGAATGACAATTGGTGCCACCTCTTCAATACCTTGCCAACACATATTAAATTAGAAAACCATGCCTCCAGGCAATTTCTCTTATAGAAATTTATCCAAAGGAAATAAACAAAGTTGTGTAAAACATTTTAGCTACAAGTATCTTTTAATATGCAACTGATTAAGTTGAAGTACAGTCATGCAATGAAATGCTCTAAAAATTTTTTTAATGATAATGTGGAAGAATATATAATATCATATAAAAATATATATATTCACATATGAATATATATATTAATATATGCATTATATATAATTGTATAATATATATTCATATATATTATATACAGAACTCTTGACAGTATCATTGCATATTTTTAATTCATTATACTATATAATGAATATTTTTATTCATTATATTAAATAATGAATAAAAATGATGAATATTTTTATTCATTATATTAAATATATAATGAATAAAAATATTATGCAATGATACATACTGTCAAGAGTTCCGTATATATTATATATATATGAATATAGGTATCATGAACTCCAAAATGGCAAGGAAGGTTATCTCTAAGGGATAGCATTACAGGTGATTTATATTTTCTAAATTTTGTTCTTCTCTACTTTCTAAGTTATTTTCAATAATCACATACACTTTTGTAAAAAGAAACACAAGAAAATTATAACATTAAAAATTATCCTCATCTAAATGGAACCAGTTCTACATTTGGTTCTTTAAACTGCTCACTCATTCATGCAACACGTATTTATTCAACTCAAAAAGCACTCTGCTAGGTGAAAGGGGCATAGTGATTAAAATTTTTTAAAAAATTAAAAAAAAAAAAGAACCAGCATCTGCCCTGGAAAAGGGATTCTTGGTAACTGAAAGAAAGCCAGCAGAGCTCATTGGGCATTTGTCTTTCCTAAATCGAAAAAAATGGCCTCAGAGGGTATCAGTGCATCCAGTCATGCTTGGGAGAGATTTGGCATTGGAACTGGACCTGAAAAAGTGGTTTTCTGAGGGAGGGCTGGGAGTGGAAAATGGAGAGAATACGTGAGAATGAGAATCACCCTCACTCTGAGTGCTCCCAGCTACTGCGTCTCCTGGCAGCTGGAGACAAATGGTTGGAGTGGCCTGGCAATGGCAGAAATGGTCCCATGGGTTGCACAACTTCA